TATTTATTTATTTTTTTCCAGAACCAGGGATTGAACTCAGGCCCTTGCGCTTGCCAGGGAAGCATTTATTCCACTGAGCCATCTCCCCAGCCCCACGATCTTTAAATATTAGGCATATTATTTAAAATACTGGAAATGAAACACTTAAGGGCAAAACATACATGCTAGATTTTTTGTTTGAAATATATAACAATATGGAATTGATATTTTTAATTTTTATTTTTCTAGTGTAAAAGGAATTTAAGAAAAATGTATTCCGAGTTGATTTTCTGTAGGGTTTTACCTTGAGGTTTAAATTTTACTGTCTTTTATTATGTGCACAGTGTATTCAATTCTACTTAAAAATATGTAGTAGTGGGCTGAGAGCTAGCTGGGTGGCGTAAGCGCCTGCTTGGCAAGCAAAAGGTAGTGAGTACAATCCCCAGTATTGTATGGTATGTGGGCCCCAGAACCCAGGCCCATTGTACCGGCCCTGAAAGCCTGCGTGGTGGTGCACACCTGTAATCCCAGAGCTGGGGAGGCTGAGACTAGAGGGTCACTATGAGTCTGAACTACATAGTGAAACTATCAATAAAAAATATACATATATATATATATATATATATATATATATATAGTGGTATTTTTGTTCAATAAAAGAATTCAAATAAAAACAAATAAGCTTCTATTGAAATAATGATAGTTGTAATTTAAATTTTAGTTGACATGCTTAGAAGATTTCAAAACATGAGGTGTGAGCAAAACATACAACGAAAGGTAAATTATAAAATGCATTACAGCAACAAACACATTATCATCAATTTATCTTAAAACTCTCCCAGTGCTTTAAGCCCACTTAGCCTGTCTTTCTTGCCAATTTCTGAAGCAGTTCTACAAGTCCTCTCTCTCACGTCTTTACTTGTGCTATGCTGGCTGTCCATTACACAGTTTTGACTTTGGGAAGGAGCCAGAATTCCCAGGATGCCCGGTCATGTGAGCAGAAGGACAAGGGCATGCCTTAGTGTTTTCACAGGCTCCCTCAATTGTCGCATTTACTGTTTTTTTTTTTTTTTTGTATATTTTAGGGAAAGGTCTACAGTCTGTTCAGGGTCTCACTACTAGATCGGACTCGTAGTGATCTGCCCATTTACAGCCTCCCAAGAGCTGGGATTACAGGTGCGCACCACCACACCCAGTCTCAGTGTGTCCCTGGGGTGGGGCCAGCATGGCAGGCCTGGGTATTGAACCCCCGGCCCCTGCACCAGCTTGCAGGGGCTTTAATCTGCTGAGCTATTTGGCCAACCCTTCACTGTATTTTCTTAAAATCATGCTTTATAAAGACAATCTGAAAGAGGACTTTCAGAACTGCTTCAGAAAGTGGAAAGAATAGTAAGATAAGTGTGTCTGGAGAGAGAGAGAGAGAGAGAGAGAGAGAGAGAGAGAGAGAGAGAGAGAGAGAGAGAGAGAGAGAGAGAGAGAGAGAGAGAGAGAGAGAGAGAGAAGAGGGGTTAATGGCAAAGTGTCTTTCACTGTAACATGTAAAATCTGACCATTTGCTGCACATTTAGATCACACTTTCGTAGACAAAGGTTAAGAGCACAGAAAGCACGGGTTGTATTGATTAGGAGGGGGGTATACGGCACACAAGTTAGCTTTAAACATTCAAATGTTGAATGGATTTTAAATCCAAATGCTTCTCAGAGAGACTTCTAGCGTCAGTTACGTTAGCTGCTTTTCAGCGGCATGGAGCAAAGTTCCCAGGAGGTCAGGCTCATGAGTGCATTATGATGGACCATTAATACTTACTGAGTACTTCCTATCTGACAGAAGGTATTCTGAGCATACGAAAAGTTGTAACGATTCACTATGGCACTCCTAAGAATAAGGAGCAGCGATTATCCACTGTGTAGATGAGAAATCTATATAGATTATCTCGCTCTATATAATTCCACACGTCAGTATTGGAGACAAGATTTGAAATGGAATATTCTGACTTTCCCATCAGTATACTATTTTTAGTAACACAGAAGCCATAGAAAATCACCAATGACGCATCAGCAGCGTGATCAGCGTGGCGTGTAGGTGGTGTATGAGGCATTTCTGGACACAAAAATTTGGTGACATTGACCTCATCGAAAATTTAAATTCAAACAAACCGATGCAATATAATTTTTATCATGAGAAGATATTGGTGCTTGGTAGACGATAGAAATCTAACACATTAGAATTATTACCTATTTCACAAGCCTTCTCCTTAACTGTAAGTGAATTATGTATTTGCAACCACGGCTGTATTTCTAAATTTTTATATTATACTGTATTTAAAAAGT